GGTGTTACCTAGAGGGAGCCAAGACTATAGTCTATACTGACCACTGCAGTCTCAAATACCTGAAGACGCAGCCGACGCTCTCACGACATCAGGTGCGGTGGGTGGACTTCCTGGAAACTCACTTCCACTACGACATCGTCTACAAACCTGGGCTACACAACAAGGCAGACACGTTGAGCCGCCCCGGACATGTAGCAGGCATCCAGCTCGACGGAATGAACCCTCTGCTCAAGGGTCTATTCCAACATGGGTACTCCGTGGGCGCAGAAATCGCTACAGCACAGACCAAGATGTTGTTACAGTGAGAGAAAGACTTAGCTGTAAGGAAGGGTTCAGGAAAGATTTGGGTACCGAATTACGCCCCGCTACGGCAGATCCTATTGGAGGAGTTTCACGACGTACCATACGCGGGACATTTCGGGAGCAACAAGACGTTAGCAGGGATAGCGAAGTATTACTACTGGCCCGGGATGGCAGCAGACGTGCAGCAGTTCGTCACCTCTTGCGACACGTGCCAGCAGATGAAGAGTAGCAAGCAGAAAAAAGCAGGGTTACTTCAGCCTCTACCTGTACCGGAGCAGCCATGGCAGGTCGTTAGCCTCGACTTCATCACAGGACTTCCTTCGACCTCACGGGGGCACGATTCCATCCTCGTAGTAATCGATAAGTTCTCCAACATGGGTCACTTCATACCGACCAACGCCACAGCTACAGCTGAAGCAACTGCTCGCCTCTTCTTCGACCGCATCATCACCATCCACGGCATCCCCGCTACACTCATCTCAGACAGAGACCCCAAATTTACGAGTAAGTTCTGGAAGGAGCTCATGGGACTGTTGGGGACAAAGCTTGCAATGTCTTCAGCATACCACCCCCAGACTGACGGACAGACACATGCGGCCACAAGGAAAACTCCTTTGTTCCTGTGTTACGGACGGGAACCACTCACACCACAGCAGCCAACCACACCGGCACACGTCCAAGCCGCACATGACTTCGTCACCACCATGCAGCAGCTATGGGAGAAGACTCAGCGACGACTCATCACGATGCAGACCTCCCAGAAGCAGTATGCCGATCGCCAGCGACGAGATCACTCAGTAGCAGTCGGAGATCAGGTGCTTCTTGACACACGCAACTTGAACCTGTCTCACCTACCATCCAAGCTCCGGCCTCGCTTCTGTGGTCCTTTTCTCGTCGAGGCACATGTGACGCCAGTTACATTCCGCTTGCGCTTACCAGATACATGGAAGCTTCACAACGCTTTCCATGTTCAGCTACTGAAACCCTACAAGGACCCCAACCAACAGTTCCAGGGACGGCAACTACCGCCACCACCACCTGTTCTCATACAGGATGAACCCGAGTACGAAGTGGAGCGCGTTGTCACTCATCGGCGCCGCGGCGGCAAGACCCTCGAGTTCCTAATACGCTGGAAGGGATACGACCCCACTGAGGACAGTTGGGTTGCAGAAGCTGATATGGGCAACGCACGCCGTGCTCTCAAGGACTATCTTGTCAAGCAGGGTGTATCTCACGCCACCCAGCTTTGAGGGGGGGATGTGTGAGAGTACGACGGCTTATGCCAGCTATGCTTGCTTGCCTTTACTTTATTATGCTATTTCTAGCATAGGATAATCATATGCATGCATGAATTGCTTAATTTCCTAGGCTAGGTGCTTTCCTATATTTTATTATAGGTATAGCACCGAGCTAGGTTGCGTGCACCGAATTCTGGCTTTTCGGTTGCCACCGAATTGCCTTCTACCGAATTCGGGAAGGATCTGTTCGGGACGCTTCGCGACCCGCGGAACCTTCCCGTAACACCTGGTTACGGGGCCTTGTGTCGAGCCTATATATAGCCTCGTGTTGTACCCAGGTGATCATTCAATTCAATTCAATTCAAATTCTCTTTTCTTAGCTCGATCCTAGATCCTCACAGACCTACTGCTCTGATACCATGTCAGAAACTAACGAGCAAGAATGATTGCATTGACATCAAATTGAGTACAAGTACTAACCCTAATTGGGTTGTACCCCATATAGGCTACCCCACTACAGCCTACACAACATAAACAGCATTATAGTTCGATAGACCGCGCTACTATATACCATTCCAAATCAGCACATGATCACCTCGGTTACTGCCCATTTACTGTTGCCAACAGACTGGTACACCAGCCCATCATTCCACGTCAGCCTGCTTCGCCCTTACGTCCCAACCACAAGCCAACTCCCTCGTCACCGCCCGCCATCTATGACTCGCCCTGCATCGGAGCGGATCATTGAGCCCGAGAAGATTCTGTGCCATCGGATTCGACACCCCACAGGCATTAAGAGGATAGAGTTCCTTGTTCGCTGGAAGGACCGCACGCCAACTGAGGAGAGTTGGGTGCCCCTGGCCAATCTTGAACACCACCCTGCCCTGTAAGTGTACCTGAGGAGCCGGGGTTTCCGCGATATATACGCACTCGCGTAGCAGAGGGGGCTTCTTGAGGGGGGGGGGGGGTAGTGTAAGGAATTTTCTTACCGCGACCGTCAACATCGCGTACAGCAGCAGCCGTTGTTCGCCCGTTACTGCTAACGGGGCTTCGCCAACCTCGCGCGCACTGTTTTCACCAAACCTCGCACTGCTGGAGCAGTCGAGTCGGCCTACAATTCGGGACTAGCCCGAACCTCGCGTAGCACTAGCTTGCTCGCACGCACCGCGTTATCGTTTGCATGTTTCGCCTATAAGTATTTGCTTATGCCTTCGCTCATACTTTGTACTCTTTGAACACCCTAGTGCAATCCTCGCCAGGGCCTCAAATTGGTTTTTGGGTACTCTGAGCACTCAGTGTCCCTAGGAGGGTAACACTGATTTTCAGTGTCGTCTAGTGTGAAACACTGATTTTACAGGGTTGTCAGAAATAAAACGCTGATCAATCAGGGTTTCTAAAACTTCAACATTGATCAGCATGTTAGAGACTAAGGACGAGGTCTACGAAGATTAGGGGCCTAAATTTCTCAAAATCGTTGGTTCAATTTCTGGACAGAATCGTCGCGCTCACAAGAAACGCCGTCGACAAAAAACGCACGGTCAAAACTTCACGAGTTTCGGATATGTTGTAGCTCTAGTCCGTGGCTACAATTCTCAAGTTGAATTGTACAAAAAGGTGAAGTATTTCTTGAGTTATCAATTTCGGCGCTCTAGGGGGTATGCTGCCATAGAATCTTAACTCAATCACAATTTTCTCACAAGTTCCTCACAAGGAAGTTAGAGTAGCAATTAACCAGACGGGAGGGAAAGAGGAGGACGAGAAGGAAGGTCCCCAAGGAGTCCCCAACCAAGGAAACCCCATAAGCACACCAAACCCCTTCCCTATAGGAACCCCATTTTGACCTTTGTCCATTTCCCAACCTCCACAATCCACCTCACCCAAGTTGGCCACACTTGCCAACCCAATTTGGTTTCTCCCAACCACTTGGTAGCATCTACAGTGATGGGGACGATCCCAACCCCCAAAACTCTGTACCCCTTATGGAGTCAACCCCACAACTTCCCATAGTCACCACAACCAAATATCAAAACCATACGAACTTCAAATGTTCGTAACTTTCTTGTTCGTGCTCCGATTGAAGCGATACTTGGCTCGACGGAAAGCTCTTGAGTAGAGGAGTCATTTCAGATATCTGCTCAAGCAAAATATCATTCACACACACTCAGAGCATCCAAACCACACGAATCATAAATTCTTGAACAAGCTCACACCACGCATGCAACGCACGAACATAAGATGGGAGGCAGACAGACGTGTATGCAAATGATAGCATCACATAACACAGCAGGGTTGCTTATACCGGTATGTTGTCATAACACAGCGAATCAGACTGCCCTTACTTCAGTATTCCCAAATTCGGCCAGAATTTTGCTATTTCCGTGTCTGATTGGTCAGACATCTTGTCTGACCAATCGGATAGGACAATTGTTAACGATTGTTTCTGATCTCTGGTTGTGTACTTGACTGATGATTCGGACTTGGTTCGTCACAGCAGATTCGCCTTGACGGCAAATTCGACCTCGCACAGTCGTTTCGCGCTGTCGCAGCACAACAAATTCGCCCAATCACAGCAGATTTGCCCTAACACGGCAGCAGATTCGCCCCTCACACAAGAGATTCGCCCTGTCAGAGCATGTTGCGCCAGAAATCCCCTTGGTGCAGGGTGCACGGTGCATAGTGACGGCGCGCCAAAACAAGGAGTTTTCGGTTTCATGGTAGACCCCGATGCAACAATGACTCGTTAGTGTCCTCAAACACAAAACACTGGAAAATCAGAGTTCGAAATTAAAAAACACTGAAACATCAGGGTTGTTTAAAGCCCGAGGTCAGCATGGTAAATTTTCAGGTTATATGGGGTTGAAACAGTCTGGCGAAAATAAAAATATCTTGTATTTCAAAAATGTGTATGGGGCGAAAGCGAATTCAGGAGGCGGGTAAAACAGCCTTCGCCACGATACTATGCGACAGCTGTTTCCAAGGATATGGGAGGGCCGAACGACTCTGTGAGCGACAAAGCACTGCTCCAGCCCACCACTGGTGGGGCACACTGCTCTTTGAAATGGTGGCAACACGAAACTCACACGAGTGAGAGTGAGGCAGTACACTGAACATTTTTTTTTTTTAATTTCTAATTTAGTAAAATGTTTGGACGCTTTTGAGACTTCACTTCAGAAAAACACAACATTCCAAGTGCTGAATACGTCCAGAAAAGCATGGAAAGCAAATTGTGAATAAAAAAACGAAATATCAAGAAACGCATTAGCAATACATTTCGGGAACGCACTCTCTCAAGCTCAGATCCCACAACTCATAAGGATCTCGGCCGGCCAGCATGGTCTGCCCCCTCCCGCATCAATGCTCCGCGGCATCCTGATGGGCAGCAGGGGAGGCTGAAGGCAGTTTCGAGAGGAGGCTGCCTCACAGCTCCGCCAGCTCGCCTCACCGCTCCGCCAGCTCGCCTCAGGGCAGATTCACTCGAAGATCTGCTGGATGCGGTGCTTCGGTGGCCTGCCACGAGGAAGAGGGAGAGCAAAGGGGGAGGGAATGGGTAGAGAGTGACGCTCATCATTTGTGCCAGGGGATCCAGTCATCGAAGAACTTATGCATGCGCGTGCGTGTTGCTACGTACCGTGTAGAGAAGGGAAGGGGATGGGGGGAAGCAGGGAAGGGGATGGGGGGAAGCAAGGAGCGGGATGGGGGGAAGCAGGGAAGGGGATGGGGGGAAGCAGGGAAGGGGATGGGGGGAAGCAGGGAGCGGGATGTGGGGAAGCAGGGAAGGGGATGGGGGGAAGCAGGGAGGGGGATGGGGGGAAGCAGGGAGGGGGATGGGGGGAAGCAGGGAAGGGGATGGGGGGAAGCAGGGAGGGGGATGGGGGGAAGCAGGGAAGGGATGGGGGGAAGCAGGGAAGGGGATGGGGGGAAGCAGGGAAGGGGATGGGGGGAAGCAGGTGAGGCAAAGGAGAATATACTGGGGGGTAAACGGAGCTGGTGGGAGTGAGGGAGGTTGGTAATAAAAAAAAGGGGTGTAAACAATTAGGGGGAAGTGAGATCGACAGGGAGAGGGAGTGAGGGGAGCACCCGCTCTCACCCTCTATCTCTCACTCTCTGGGACACCCCCTCATTTGTTCCCCCCCCTCCGTCCTTCCCCTGTTGTCTCTCCACCCCTGCCCTTCACCTTCTGTCTCTCCCTCTCTGCCCCTCCCCCTCTGTTACTCCCCCTCCGTCCTTCCCCTTCTGTCTCTCCCCGTCTACCCTTCACCCTCTGTCTCTCCACCTGTGTCCTTCCCCCCATGTCTCTCCCCCTCTGTCCTTAGCGAAAAAGGGAGGGAAAGAGGGAAGAGAGAGAGAAAGGCAAGAGAGCGAGAAATGGAAGAGAGGGAGAGGGAGAGAGGGACAGAGGAATGAAGGTAGAGAGCAAGGTAGGGAGGGACGGAGGGAGAGAGGAAGAGAGGGGAGAGAAAGGGATGGAGGGAGGAAGCTTGGGCGAAATAAAGAGGCAGGGGCGACGAGAATAAGTGCGCGCGGGCGACAAGGAGAAGCGCGCGCGGGTGACGAAGAGAAGCGCGCGCGGGCGACGAAGAGAAGCGCGCGCGGGCGACGAAGAGAAGCGCGCGCGGGCGACGAGGAGAAGCGCGTGCGGGCGACGAGAAGAAGCGCGCGCGGGCGACAGTTCGGGGTGCGTGCGCGGACGACGAGGAGAAGCGCGGGACGGTGGGAAGCGTGGGCGACGAAGGAAAGCGAGAGAGACGAGTGGGAGATATCGTGACCCGAGCAAGTGTGGGCGACGAGAAGAAGTGCGGGTGTCGCTTTTCCGCCAGTCTCACAAGGGTAACGCGCTCTCGTCATACTAAATCCCTTGGGTGTGGCAACTCATGCCATTTACGAGCATTGCGCGTGTCGTGCGCTAGCACGGACGTAGCATCCCTGGCATGCGAAAGAGGTACGGTGAGCGCTTGGCTTGAAGTTGTGCTGCTCAGCGATTGGCCAGACAGCGTGAGTGACTCGTGTTGCAAGGAAAACGTCGTCTTTACTTCAGCTAGCTTCTATCACCCTGCCGCGTGTTTCCTAGTACTGTCCCTATCATAGCATACTAGTGTTGTGAATGGCACGCTCTTCACGTGCCACGCTACTGTGCCACTCCAACCCCTTCCCCTCAAAACACCCTCGACACATTTTCCTAAGAACCCATCCAAACCACACAACTCCTCCAAAGCCCATTCCAACCACCCAAGTTACAAACTTCCTTTTCCAACTCATCCTTTCCAACTCAAGCCTATCAACCACCTCTTTAATTACTCCCAACCACCATAGCCATTCTTAATCCAACTCAACTAAGACTTCAACAACTTTTTCTATTCACCTCCAAGTCCCACCATAAGGCACATGACTCATCATGATTTTCCATGTGCTTTCTTTCCTTACTCACCAAATATTATCAAGTCATCCACCTCCTCCAATATTCCTCCCTCCATGTGCCTTCAAGCACATGCTTCCAATTCCTAGTCATCAACCTCCACATGCCTCTTATGTATTCCTACCTTCCTTCCTTTCCCAAGTCACCAAAGTTGCCAACTCATCCCTCAAGGACTTCATGATTATCCCATCACCTCCTATTCCAAGGCAAAAAAGCTCATCATCTCCTCCACTCATCCTTATCCAACTCACTAAGCTCTCTTCCAACTCAACAAGGCTTACAACTCCAACTCACCAAGTGCTCAACCACCACCACATGCTCCAATACTATTCATCTACATCAAGCATCTCTACAACTTATGCATTCCAAGCTTCTTCATCAAGCTCCTTTCCAAGCTTCTCCTTCAAGCTCCTCTTCTACTACAAAGGCTCCTCACTAGCAACCAAGTTCTATGTCTCCAAAGTTGATACTCTCATGCTACTCTCTTCCAAGGCTACCATTGATGGTTACTCTCTCTATGCATGCCTATGTATCCTTCATGGATCTATAAGGCTTGTACTATACTCTCTTTAATATAAGTTTATGCTCATAAGGCTCTCTCTCACATAGTCTACAAAGTAGTTATCAAGTGAAGAGTAGTCTACCTCATACTCCTTAAGAGTATAAGGAAGCTACAAGCTACAAGCTCAAGGGAGGATCATCATCCAACCCAAGGCTTGAAGTCACTCCCAAGTAAACCATACAAGTTCAAGTTCTTCTTTCAAGTTACTTCTACAACTATCCCTAGTAAGATTCACTCAAGTAAGTGTTTATCACCGCTCTTATTCTCTCAACGAGCTCTCACTCTTCTTCTCTTCTAAGTTCTTATCTCATCAAGCATTTCACCTTACACAAGTTTCTCTTTATAGTCACGAGTTCTAAGCATCATCTTCTCTTCCATCAAGCTCATCTACATATGCTACAGTTCCACTGTTCACTCTTGTCTTATTCTAGTGTGCAATCATACTCTTTTGTCTTTATCGCAATTCTCTACAACTAGTACTACTTGGTCTTCAAGATATGTGAGAGGTGCTCACGGCAATATTGTGGGCGATAGTCGGAGGTGTTGTGCGACTGGGCAAGGAAACCAATCAGGAGTGAGGGTCGCAATAGGTTTTCCCTGAGTCGCGAGTTGTTTTTCAAACCAGAGAGGGTTACCCTGTTTTTTGCGACTTCAAGTTCAAGAATCTTGAACTTGAAAAATACCATGCTGTATCCGGGCTTTAAAAAAAAGGGTTGATGCATCAGGGTCATGATAAAAAATGGGGGTCAAACTGTCAAAACATATTGTTCTGTTCATTTCACTCTAGGTTGTGTAGGGTTCTTTCCTTAGAGGGTACAACATTTCACTCTCGATAGTCTTGTATCCCCCTCCCTTACCTAATCGACATTCTCACCTAGCTACTAATTCTAACATGGTATTAAGAGCGAAATGCTCCTTAGGTACGAATTTTTAAGCGGGTCCACCACTGCTATTTCGATCTGCTGCCCGAGTCGCGCCCCTAGGAGAAACGCGAAATGCGAAAACGCGCCCTAGGCGAGACGGTTTTTTCTGCCCTAGGCGCGATTCTTCAGCCTAGTCACGTGCGACCCCCCCTAACCGCGCCCTAGCTGCCCCGTGCGCCACTCGCGCGACCCGTCAGTCCCTACGCCCGGTCCCCCCTCGTTCCTGCTGCTGCGCGCGCCACTTACGCTGCCCGCCAGCCCCTAGCACGCACCTGCTGCGCGCCCTTTTATTTTTTTTTAGCTGCTCCGCGCGCACCTGTTGCGCGCCCCTGGTTTGCTAGCTCACAGCCCGCACGCGCCTACTGCTACTGTGCGCCTGCTGCTGTTGCTACGTGCCGCTGCTGCTCTGCCACTGTGTCCGAGCCGCGCCGCCCAGCCCGAGCTGTCACTGCTAGTGCTACTTCACCTACTGCTGCTACAGCTAGTGATACTAGTGCTGCTGCTACTGCTACTCGAGCCGCCCTGCTACTCGGTCTACTGCTGCTGCTGCTGCTGCTGCTCGGTCTACTGCTGCGGCTGCTGCTGCTCGGTCTGCTGCTGCTGCCCGAGCCGCCCTACTACTGCTGCTGCTCGGTCTACTGCTGCTGCTGGAGGGAGTACTGCTGGGAGTGGTGGAGGTGCGGCCTCCTAGCCCCACCGAACCGCCCTGCTGCTGTTACTACTGCTGCTGTTGCTACTCGTGCTACTGGGAGTGGAGGAGGTGCTGCTGGGAGTGCAGGAGGTGCTGCTGGCGCTGTAGGAGCTGGAGGTGCTGGACCTACTCCTGACCGTCACTGTCTGTCATGGCCACTTCCGCGGCAGTTACTGTGGCCTGGGGTGGACAGCAGTGGGCACTCCTTCTCCCAGACGAGGTTATCGTTCTGTTAGGACTGCCACTCCAGGTGCTAGTGAGTCTGCTGCCACTCCAGGTGCTAGTGAGTCTGCTGCCGCTCCAGGTGCTAGTGAGTCTGCTGCAGCTCTAGGTGCCCGTGAGTCTACCGACGCTCTAGGTGCTAGTGCGTCTACTACCACAGGTCCTGCCTCAGCTGAGGACTTGCACACTTTCACGCTTGACTCAGGCGCGTCACGTTGTTTCTTCCGTGATTGCACCACAGTCACACCACTCACAGCACCTGTCCCAGTCTCATTGGCTGACCCCTCTGGGGGCCCAGTGGTTGCGAGAGCCTCCACGGTCCTACCTTTTCAAGCAGTCCCCTCCGGCTCTTTGTCAGGTCTCCACCTCCCCACGTTCTTGACGAACTTGGTGAGCAACGATGCCTCCCTGAGACCCTGCCCCCCCTCCCGCACTCACTTGAGCCGCCGTGCCTTCCTTGCGTCGAGGGGCAGCAGCGCGCCGCTCCTCACTCCTCGGAGTTTCTTCCGACCACTGCTCCTCTGCAGACTCTCACCTGGACGTGTGGGGCCTGGCCCCCATCGGTGGGACGGACCAGGAGCGCTACTTCCTGCTGGTTGTTGACGACTACACACGTTACACCACTGTCTTCCCCTTGTGTCGCAAGGCGGACGTCAGCGGTGTTTTGATCCCCTGGATCCGTGCTACTCGTCTCCAGCTACACAAGCGCTTTCAGCAGGACTTCCCAGTCCTGCGTCTGCACTCTGACAGGGGTGGTGAGTTCTCTTCTGGCGTCCTTGAGACGTTCTGCCAGGATGAGGGCATCGCCCAGTCGCTCACGCTTCCGGCCTCTCCGCAGCAAAATGGGATCGCTGAGCGTTGCATTGGCCTGATCATGGAGGTTGCTCGTACCTCCATGATCCATGCGGCTGCTCCCCATTTCCTGTGGCCGTTTGCGTTCCGATGCGCTGCGCATCAGCTCAACCTCTGGCCCCGTGTCTCTGCTCTAGAGACCCCGCCCACACTTCGTTGGACGGGACAGCCTGGTGATGTGTCGTCGTTTCGGGTCTGGGGCGCGCTCTCCCTTGTTCGCGATACCAAAGCGAGCAAGCTCTCTCCTCGCACTGTCCGCTGTATCTTCCTGAGCTTCCCCACCGACGCTCCACCCTGGCAGTTCTACCACCCTGCCTCGCGTCGTGTTCTGTCCTCTCAGGACGTCACCTTCGACGAGTCGGTCTATTACTACCGACTTCACCCGCACGCGTCCCACCCGGTCCCCCTTGCACCCTTCTTCCTAGTACCAGTCCCCCCCTCGGTAGACCCCCTCCCCCCACAGGGTCCTGCTCCCTCAGGTGTGTCCCAGGTAGACCCACCCCCCTTGGATGAGCCAGTTGAGATCTCTTCTGACTCCTCTGACTCACCTGAGGGGGGTGACGCCGTCGCCGACGACACGGCGACCACTCGCCACACTCCTTGCTTGGCGACCCCCCCGGGTTTCCCGCCACGGCCGTCTTCGCCGCCTCCGCAGCCTGCTGCTGTGGACTCTGGAGCTGAGACTACTGGAGCTGGGGCTGGGGGTGGTGAGTCTGGGGGTGCGCGCTCTCCTCGTCTGGCTACCCCCCCCGGGTTCCCACCTCTGCCGTCTTCGCCGCCTCTGCAGCCTACTGCTGTGGACACTGGAGCAGAGACTGAGGGTGCTGGGACTGAGGGTGCTGGGATTGAGGGTGCTGGGACTGAGGGTACTGAGCCTGAGGGTGCTGAGACTGAGGGTGCTGACTCTGGGGGTGCTGAGACTTCGGGTGCTGACTCTGGGGGTGCTGCGAGTCCTTCTGGAGGTCCTGGTGCTGGAGGTGCTAGATGTAGAGGTACTAGAGGTGCTTCTGGTGCTGGAGGTGCTAGAGCTACCACTACTGGAGGTACTAGAGCTGGACAGCCACCGCAGCCTGCTCTACTTGAGACGCTCTCGCCGCAGGCGATTCGTGCGTGGGTCGTTCTGCGAGGCAGTCCTGGTGGTGGAGTGTACGGTCCTGCTGGTGCTGGAGCTACTAGTCCAGTAGGTGCTGCTGGTGCTGGAGGTACTACTGGAGGTACTAGAGGTGCTGCTGGTGTAGGAGGTACTGGAGCTGCTGGTGCTGGGGGTACTGGAGCTGCTGCCGGTGCTAGAGGTACTGGAGCTGGTGGCACTGGAGGTGCTGGTGCTACTGGTGCTGGAGCTGCGGGAGCTGCTGACCCTGGAGGTGCTGGTACTGCTGGTGCTGGAGGCGTTGGAACTGGAGGTACTGGAGGTGCTGGAGCTGCTGGTCCCAGAGGTGCTCGTACTGGAGGTGCTGGAGCTGCCGGAGCAGGTGGTACTGCTGGTGCTGGAGGTGCAGGAGGTGCTAC